GGTGTCCTTAGCTTTTTACCCTGGATCTGCTTGGGTATTCACCTGCACTTCATGTTTGTGAATATAACTCTGAGGGAGATGGTTTAGTCCTAACAGTGGCAATCACCTACCATTACTTTATGAATATGCTGTAAATGTTGATATTTTACTAGTATAAATGTGTTGCATAACCATACAGTCATGAAATTTAGGTAACTGCTAAACAAATTGTAATACCACCAGACTAATTTGAGATCAGGCTAGTGAAAATAATCATACCACCCTTATTTCAACATGCATATATATATATATATATATATATATATATATATTTTTTTTTTTTTTTTTTTTTTTTTTTTTTTTTTTTTTTTTTTCTAGGGAATACTGCAAAATGTTGAGACATCATCCTCCTGGGGTGACACATCATATTTCTCCTAATACATCTTCCCTTCTTTGGCTTGTTGTCAAATTTAGTTGGAATGTAACATTCTACTTCCCACATATAATGCTGCAAAAAGCCAAGCTTCATCTTTTATTGAACACCAAATTTTCTCACTGGGCCAGCTTTGCCAACAGGCGACATCGGCAATTGCCTGGGGCACCATCTGCTGGACAGGGCGCAAAATTGTACAATGAAAACATTAAGAGTCCAAAACAATTTAATGTGAGTATTTATGTGTAAATATGTGCATTATGAAATCATCAATGCCTTTGCTGATAGGAAGTCCAGAGAACTTAAGTTTTGAAGAACATTGGGGATGTTACGGATGTTTTGCTGTTTAGATTGTCTCTTTGTGGAAATAGCACACAGTTCCAACGTCTAACTTGACCAGAAACCGAAAATTAAGGCACTTAACTTATATCTTAAATTTCTATGAGGACACATCTTAGTAATCCATTGTTTAAGATAATTTTAATTGCACATCCTGATATAATTTTTTAAAAGTTTTATTTACAACAACATTATTGTTTCTTTACAATGACACATTTATATTTTTTAGTTTTGAAGTTTATTGCAAAGCTTCATGCTGGATTTTTCCACTTCAACCCCAAGACATTTGCAAAACATTTATTGTTGTAAGTTCCCAGGGTACTTATCTTTCAGGTTTACATTCATTCTTTAGAGATAACTGTGGAGTTGTTTTTTGACAAGAGTGCAAGCTATGCATGAGGGGGCGGCAAAGAGGCACTCTCAACTTGGGCACCAAAGAATTTAGAACAGTCCAAAGCGATAACTCACAGCTGCTTCTGTTGCTTTGATTGGCTAAAAGCTCAAAATGGGAGGCATGTGCCACTTTGTGATTTACCCAGTCAGCTTAAAGAATTGTACTGCATGTCCCTTCCTTTTGTGAACATTTCTGTAGGGGCTGTTTTCAGATGGATATTGTGTAGAATTTAAAATAAAATACATGGATCAATCTGGTTTCTACCAGGTTACGCTACTATGGCTCAATGACACATTATTGTGTCTTCTGAGTCCAACTCAAGGTGCTCTGCTCTGAAACACTCAAGGAGCAATACTGTATGGTAGCTGCCAGAAAGTATGGCAAGCCACTAAACTGCAATGCTTTTACATTTAGTGGAACCAGGGGGTAAGGCTGCTGGAGGACACTGGGACCATATTTCCTCCTTCTATTGCATTCTATTTCATTTCTGCAATGTTGCATTGTTTGTTAGTTCAACTGCTAATTGTGTTCTCTGCTTTTTCTCGTTATAGTAGCTACAGTACATCCGCTCTGTTTATCTGTGACACCATTCTCATTGTAGGCATTAGCTTGGCTGTTGATGTAAACGACTACAGTTAAAGATGACAGAGTTGTGCTGTTTGTTTGTTGTTTTCTTTAAGTATTAGGTTCAGTTCTCTCCTGGGCATAGCTATGAGCTCTCTTACTATGACTAACTGTGCACTCTCTTCATCTTTTTCACTTGAAAACTGACTCTGAGCTCATCTGCTTAGGGTGGGCATACAATGTAAGCCCTTTTCGGGCCGATTTCCTAGTTGTTTGAACATACTGTATTTTCAATCAGGCCAAGTTTCAGCCTCATCATGCGTCCTGCGTCATGTAGGTGTTACAGGGGCCACCTCCCGATCCTGAATCGTAAGGTCGGGAGAAAATCAACATCTCAAAACATGTCTGAAATTCAGTCGGCCCTCTTCAGGTGTTTGTGAGCAAATCCTGCTGTTGAAGCAGAGCTACAAGCGTCTATGGGCTAATTTATCAGAACCTCCGGCACTGTGGATTTGAAAATAAGGGAGTTCTTCTTCCTTCCAAATTGCCAAGAATGATCATTGCCATCTCTCAGCCCTGAGTCCAACATGTGGTTTTTGGACATGCAGTGTGAGCAGGTACATCGCATTAGAGCATCGGGCCGTAGAGTACATACATTGTGAGCTGTGAACTTATAAACCCTGCGATTTTATCATACTGAGTACAATGATTGAAAATTTTCTACAGTGCATGCCCAGCCTTAACTGTTTCTTTCCAAGACAGAGCCATCTGTGGAGTTAGTTTACATTACCTTCTTAAACATAAAAAGTGTTCATGGATAAGTGCTTCTATATTTATTTTTTGTGTTTCCCTCTATCATCTTGATCCCCCAATTAGAATGCATTATCATATGAGCAGAGGTGAATAAAGTACCAAAGAATTTTATTCAAGTAAGAGTACCACTAAAAGATTAATCTTTTACTTAACCCCTTAAGCCCAATGGGTTTTAGGAGCAAATTCCACCTGAAATTACATCTGTGAATTAAAGCAAGTATAGCTTCCTAACTATAAATTGGAAATACAATCGTTTGCATTTGTATGACGTAAAGGCATTGATGAATATTTTTCAGATGGGAGCACTATTTTAAATGTCACCATATCTGATTAATAGGTGATAAAAGAAAGAACAATGAAAAATATTTAGCCTCGCTAATATTTTTCCAAAATAAACACTGCAAAATGAAAAACCATTTGAAATTCTGGATGACGCTTCATACTTTATACTGTAGATCCACATCGTGACTATAACTCAAGCAAAGTTGGACTGAATGAGATGAAGCATGTTTCTTCCACAAAGGTTTTAGCGGGCAGTGTACTAGGAAATGTGATTGAGTGGGGCCAAAAGTGGCCAAATTGTGCCATATGCATTTCTCGACTCATAAAAGGGAATCTGACCAGACAAATATGCTGATTTACATTATTATTAACCTTCTGTATAAGATAAAGCCTTTGATTTAGCCTTTGTTTCATTGAAACGTACCATAAAACAGACAATAAAATCACCAAACTAAATATAAATTAAGATTCATTTTATATTTTTTGTCACCAAACATTTAAATTACTAAACATATTACTAAAAACAATAATTAGAAATCCAAAAACTGTACAAAAATGTAAAAATCGATTAGAAGCTTCAGAAGCTTCTGTCAAAGAATTTGCTAAATAATTATGACACATGTCCCCACCATCAGTCACAGGTGTAGCGGGACAAACCTGGTTTGCAGTTTTTCACAGCTATAAAAAAAACAACATATTTTTGAAAAAAAAAAATAATAATTTAATACATGTTTTAGAAATTTTAAAGCCCCATTTTGAAAGGCATGTGGATGAAATACCATGTGACTGTGTTTTGGTCATTTCTATAAATAGATAAACATGAGCAGGTGTCAGATGTGCTCGCCGAGCTTAAGCGGTTAGAAGGTAGTAATCCAACAAATTACACAAGTAAGAATAAAAAAAGTGCTTTGTAAAATTGCTACGCAAGTAATCCTTGACTCGTAAAATCTGATCCAATGCTTAAAATTATAACATCAAAGAAAATTATTTGAAAATTCTAACATTGCAAAGTAATGAAAATGTTAGGATTCCAGTTTGTGTGGGTTGTTTTTTTGTGTTTTCCTCTCTCCATCACCAGGCAATGCCCTGTCCTCGTTGGGCCTCCTTGCACACCTGCGGCTCGTTGGGTCATTTCCAGAGGAGAACTTGAGAGTGTTTGCCAGTATTGGGTACTCTAGCCAAACTTAGATTAGCAGAGGCTAACCTTAGCATTGTTTCTCTGAGTCTGAACTTGTTTTTTGTCTTTGTTCTACGGCAGGAAGACTTCCTGTGTTACTGGATAAGCCTGGACCTTCTACCCCTGGAAGGATTTACTGAGTCTCACTGAGCAAGGGGAAAACCTCCACATGATCTGTTCAAGTCCACTCCTGGAAAACCAAGTGACAGTCCACTCCTTTACTCCTCTGGGTCCAACGTATGTCTGCCTGTCCGCTCTCCAACGAGTTCCCTCTTCTCTGGGTTAAACCCCCACAAACTGGATCCAAGGATAAACAAATAGCCCCCCCAAAAGTGAGTGCCTCTCCAGCAATATTCAAACCTCAGTCAATTTTCCCACTGTCCCTGAACTGATCACTGTGATCTCCCCTTCAGAGTTTCTGGTTCCAGTTCACCAGTCCGCTGAGTTCCAGTATTGTTTCCCCACAGAGTTTTAATCTCCATTAGTGTTTGTTAACCTACAATAAAGCTGTTAAACTTTTACCCTTGGTCTCTGAGTGGTTCTCTGCATGTGGGTCAGATCTTTAAAGCCCATTATGACAAAAAAAGTAAAAGATACTAATAACATTATTACAAAAAGAGTTGGGCAGAAGAAACACTTTTCCCGAAGTGATTTTTTCCACATAAACATATCAAACTCATTGCAACAGTAGGTCATATGTCAGGAGAGTATATAGATCTCCAACCTGAAATAGATACTGCTTACTGTGTTTTAACCTGACCTCAAATAGCTCAAATAACTAGTGGTGGGCGTGGTTACAAAAAATATATTCATGTAAGAGTAGTCATGCTCTTACAGGGATATTACCTAAGTAAAACTACAGTAAAGTACAACTTCAGAAATATTTTTTCTTTCTAAAATTTGTAATCACTGTCTGCATATACAGTGATATATAAAGCCTATACACACACGCAGACATCTGTTTAAACAGTATCATGGAAAAATACAGGAGTCAGACGCAGTTGAAAACCTTTTCCATTTTTATGACATAATATTGACATTTAAGAAAACTACAAAAATAAAATAAAACAAAACATGCCTTTTAAAGCTAAAATTGGTGGAGAAATGCAACACACAATTCAGAATACATGAATACACAATCTTCTTTTTGGTGACCTTTGAATGTTGGTGACATTTTATTCTAATACATACATTCATAAATAACAATCTTCTCTCTTTATATTGCCTATCTCTATGAATCTCATACATCTAACTGTACCTCATCACATCGCAGTATATTGCATATCTCAAACAGAGGTGGAGTAGTCATTTAATACTCAATCTTTCTCATAGAAATATTCTCACAGAAGGGAGGTAATATGATTGGCTTAACTTAATAAAGGGGATGAAGACAAAGTATGGATCATAAACACTGAGGGTTTCCTCTGTCTTTTCTTAAACAGAAATAAATCCTGCATAGTGTTGATATCAACATCTTGGTATGGGTGATGTGGATGTATGTATGACATACAATTTGTGTGCATTTATCCACCTGAGGTCTACCTTGTTGAATATTTATGGACTGTAACACAAACGTAATATATGGACAGTCATTCTTAAATCATGGTATCAAGTCCTCAGTGAAAGAACACAACATCAATTTCACCAACATTGCTTGCCAACTGTTTTCTAGAAAACATGCTACACTCAGCAGACCTGGGTCAAATAATTAAATAACTAAGCAACAAAGGATTTCAATAAATAAGTAAGAATGCTTGTCCAAGTTTTATAACAGAGGTTGCCTGTACAAATTCTCAGTCGTCTGGGTCATGGCACAGACTTAAACCTTCCTTCTATCAGAGAGTCTTTGTCAATTCTGGTAGTTGCCATCGTTGGACCATATAATTGTTCTTTCACAGTCTTGTTAGTCTATTATTCCTTTCAACCAGGAACTGTAATGGCTAGTTAACACAACAATAATAATCAATTGTCCAAAATGGCACCAGTCTCCAATTCGGCAAAATCATTTTAAACACGTTTCCTTAAATGTTCATTTTAAAGTTTCAATTGATTTACTTCCCCATAGTTTCTTATGTTTTTTCTAAAACTTTTATTTGAGCTTGCTCCTAATCAAAGTCACTCAACCTATTGTGCTGTAGTGTCACACCTTACCAGACAGGTATTCTTCAAATACAGTAATACTTGAGAGAGAATGAGAGCTATAAGGCTTTTTATCCCCCATAGTACAGTGGAGAACTGTCTTAGTCCTTTTTAGCAAAATCACTAGCTTCTCTTATAACTATACTCACTCACTAAGAATTGAACCAAGCCAGGCCAAAACAATTGTAGCACATTATTTTGAAATAGAGGATTTAAATCTGAAGTAGTCAGGTATTAAACAACAAATCTTTGTATGTATTTTGACAGATATTCATTGTGTCACATTAAGAATTATTTGAATGAGAGGACTAGATTATAGAAATCATCATAAATTATTTTTGCTTAATATTTATAGAATTGGTTCGGGCAAAGAATTCCATTTCATTCTTAAAATAGACTGGTGCAAAAAAACTAAAAGTAAATGTATATAAAATCACCAGTCAATCAAATAACTAATACATTTTAGGTCTCATTTTCTCATGCCTTACTTAAAATACACACTGTATGGTTCGATAACTTTGGTTTAAGAGCATTGCCCAAGGGCATGTAGTGGTTGGCGGTGAAGGATCTAATTCAACAGATTTCCAATTGTAGTACGATTCCTCTCCTAACTGCCAGCCCTGTCACATAACCACATTTCAAAATAAGGTAGTTGTCAAGTCTTTGTAAGATGTTCCTAAAAGGGGAATGGAATTAGGAATGGTTCGTTTTAAAACAACCCTTGGCAAACAAGATTGTACCCTAAAGGGCTGGTTATACTCCCGCAGCAGTGTGTCGCAGTGAGCTTGTCGCAGGTATGACGATAAAAAAACAACCTAAACAAGTAACAGGAACCTCTTGTATTCTTGCAGACAAAGTGTGCATCTTTGTGATATAAAAATGGTGAAATAACTTTTAAACTATTTTATATTTTGGGGGTGTTAACATTTTTTGTCTGGGTAGAATTATGTCTTTATTTTCCCTGTCTCTGTGTTTGCATCAGTAATATCTTTTTGGTGATTGAAAGTATCTACACTGCCTGCCAAAAACACAGTCACAGCCAAAATAAAGGTCACATGCTAATATTTGTTGGCCTGCCTTTAGATTTGATGACAGCATTTGTTGTGGCATTGTTTTCAAAGAGTTCTGCAATGTCAAATTGCCACTCAGTGTTTCCATCCAGTGTTGCATTTTTTTTTTTTACCAAGATCTTGCATGGCAGGTTCTAATAGTAGTGCAAAGCCTTCTCCAGCACATCCCAAAGATTCTCAATGCGCTTAAGGTCTGGTCTCTGTGGTAGCCAGTCCATGTGTGAAAATGGTGTCTTATGCTCCCTGAACCACTCAGGCTCAGTTTGAGCCCAATGATTCCTGCCATTGTCATAATGGGATATGCCCTTTGTCTTCAGGGAGGGAAAAAATCCATTGTTGAAATAAAATGTTGATTCAGAATATTTAAGTAGTCAGACAACCTCATTGTTTGAGCGCCTACTGTTGCTGAACCCAGACCTGACCAAGTGCAGCAACTCCAGGCCATAGCACTGCCCTCATAGGCTTGTATAGAAGGCACTAGGCATGATGGATGCACCTTCACTTCACCTGTGTCTCTTCCTACCCTAATGCACCCATCATTCTGGAACAGGATCTTCCATTGCTCCAGAGTACAATTTGAATTCTCCCTAGCAAAATGAAACCTTTTATTCTAGTTAGCCCCACTGAAAAGGGGTTTTCTTAAGGCTACACAGCCGTTAAGTCCCAATCACTTGAGTTCCATTCACATTGTGCATGTGGAAATCCTATTACTTTCACTGTTAGGCCGGAGTTCTACTGTTGTTTTTTCTTTGATTTGATTTTACCAAACGTCTAAGTGATCACTGATCATGATCATTCAGGATTTCTTTCAAGTACCTTTTTTTCCTTGGAGACGATGGGTCCACACTATCCTTTCAGTGTTTAATAATGCATTAAGGAGTTTTTGCTTGGGAGTGTCTGCAATCCTCTTATATGTTTTCTCTGCTTGATGGCAGCCAATGACTTTCTGAAGCAGACTATTATCTTTTCCACGTCCAGGGGATGTGTCGTTCAACAGGTTTTTTTTTTAAACGAGACCAGATACATCAGTTGAGTTTAAAATACTTGTTGTCTGTTGAAACATAATCACCCCTTCAGTAAATATCCAATGGGAGGCTGATACCTATTTGCTTAGGTAAATAAAGGTGTCATTTTTTAGGTCAGGCAGTGTATATTTTAAATAAAACTAAATAAGGTATCATTTAACAACAGTATTTAGCCCAGGTCTGCACTCAGTACATTATAGCCCTTCATATGCACTTGAAAGGAAAAGTTCTCCTAAAGTGAACAATGCTTCCACCCACTCCTCACTTTAACTCTCAGCAGCATTCATGGATTATTTCATTTTACTGAGTCACTTAATCAATCTGAGGTTTGTCAGGCTCCAGACATGCTTCCTCATATCTCTTCTTTCTAGTTTCCACAAATGGAGACGGATACTTCTTGAAATATGAAGAATTATGATAAAAACAAAAAAAGATATTTCTTAACCTACAAAATTGACAGAAAAAATGAAAAATTGAATGCTACATTTATCCATGGATATAAAAAAAACCTAAAAGACTAGCTATACAGAGTTCAGTTTTTATCCTCAAGAAGGAGCTCCATGTGTTGTCAACAGCCATGTAAAATATGTTTTGTTTTTGCACAAGGATGAGGGCACATAGGGTCAAGCAAACCCAGTATCTTATGATTTAATGTCGCATTAGTAATATTTGCCAATCACTGCCCATTCAGACCTCTTTTCTCGAGTTGTGTTTTTAAATGTCCAATCAGGATTATTCAGATTTGAAGCCCAGGACTGGCGTAGTTCTAAGCCAAATCATGGCTGTGCTAAAAGGTCAATCAGCTTGCAATCAATGTTAAAATCCCTCAACAGTGACCAAGTCCTGTGCAATAAGGGAAAAACAGCCCTCGTTTAGGAAATTACTGATCTTATGAATCCGAATCTGAGGAGAAAAGCAATACAACAGATCACTATACAAAGTTGAAGAATAATTTCACAAGACACATATCAATAAGTCTCCCCATATTCTGTTCAAACAGAAGAAATTCATATTTTTTAACTATGCCACAACAAAAGGGCAACAGGCGTTTCATCTTTTTTTCCTAAAGCTTGTGTTGTTTTGTCGAGTGCTGGTTTTCCTGCTAAAACCTGTCATATAACTGTCCTCGCCTGGACCTTTTCCCCTTCCCTCAGTCCAGGGGTTGGACAAGAAACCATGAGCATCTATGGCACATAAGTGTCGGCCATCTTTACCTCGGGCAGATAGATTTGACTGATCTAGAGAGCCCGTGCTGTTACATTTCTTTATCATTGTGGGAGCCATTGTGCATGGTGTTAGCAGCGATGTCAGAGAGAGACTGTTCAGTGTTTCTGACAAATGTTCGTTGTAGAGGGCTTGGTGGCAGCCATCCCTTCCTGTCCCTGCCTCTTCATCTGAAGGGTCCATGGAGTCCTGTTGGGTGAATCCCGGGCTGGTGCTTCCACCGCCGCTGCTGCTCTGACTCCTCTGTTTCCTGCGAGTCGCATGCAAAGTAAGAGCAGAGCTCCGTCTATTTAGCAATGGCGACCCCTGGTTTGCTTTTTGTGTTTCTCGAGGGTGTAACACAAGGCTGGGGACAGGGCAGAGGAGAGGCACAGGGAGACTTAGGTGTTGAGGTGGGCAGATGCCAAGGCCGAGCCTTTCATCCAGCGTTGCCTGCAGGCTGCCATCTGAACTGCCCGTGGCCAAGGACGAGTCACTCTGGGATGGATTCTGCATAATCAAAATATTTATTGAATATTTTTTATTTATTTTGAAAGGTTAATGTATTTCAGTAACTCTAGCTAAACAAATGAAACTCATGTATAGCTCAACTACACAAAATAATATGATCTCATCTATTTTTTCTGTTAATCTTGATTGTGACTGGTAGCAATGAAGATTGTCTCAGTCGCCGCCCTGCTTATGGATGAGGCTTATGATACACCTGAGAGTACCACAGAGTATTAATTCTTAAAAAAAAAAAAAGAATTGAAAGCATTTATTTTTTTTATGTTTTACAACTGAACAATTGACCTTGGTTTTATATTTTTCTTTTAATATTGCATCACTTTGTTTATATGTTAAGTTACTTTGTAGCACTTGGATACTTGCATGTAAAGTGCTCAATAAATTAGTATTATCTTTGTAATTATTTAAAATAAGAATCTTTAAAAAAAACTGTAAAAAAGTATCTTGTAAAACCCCAAAGTTTGTCTTTTGAAACTCAAAGTATATGTACTTAATATTTGGCTGGGTTTTGTTTATATTAACTACTGTATTGATGGCACTTTGAGGGGATAAACCAATGTCTCTGCTGAGGTGTTCAGCTCAACTGCATCATTGGGTGGAGGGTTAGATTAGGTGGAGTTTCTGGCTAATTAAGAATTTCATGGTGGTTAAATCTGGTATTGTTACTGGAATTGTGTGCCAGTGCAAAGTGTTGATGGAAAATTAAATCTGCACTGCCAACAGGCTTCTCAGCAAAAGCCTGAAGTACCAATGTCCATGCTGAAACACTAGACACTTTCACAGGAACACATCAGAGAGAGAGGAGCCATAAATGAGGCGAAGCCATTTGAATGAGTAGGTCAGAACCAGGGACAACATGGCCAGGGAACCACATTCTTCAGCCTGTTGACTTTAAATATTCAGCTGGCTATTTCAGAACCTGATTGCTGCAAAGCAGATTGTCTGTAACATTCTCTCTGAGTTAACATGAGTAAAGCTGCAATCACATCAAGTGCAAATTTAATGGCTGAAGCAAACCATTTCCATGTTATCCCTATGTTGAGAGGGGGTCAGTGTTAGATGGAGTGAGGCAAAGGTCTCAATGCTAATGTGGCAAATGGGACGATTTTGGTCAATACAGTGAAGAGCACCAGTGCACATTTGACCTATGTGAGATGACATTGGTAGGAGTTTAAAAATCTACTTTTGTCTATGTTTGCATTGCAAAAACTATTCAGGGACTAGATGTGGTTGTGACAGAGGGTGAAGGAGCTCAGTGTAGACAAGCTTTTTTTAATCAAAATGGCATATAGATATAATAATGTTGACAAAGGAGGAAATAAGCATTTAATGCTACGTTCACACTGCGAGCAGAAGAGGCAGCAGAAGCAGTTAGTTTTCATGCAAAGTCAATGGTTGACATGCATCTTGGTGCTGTAAAATATGTTCGATTTTATTATTCTGGTGCCTGCAGTTTGGATTACATATGTGGAAAAATGCCTTCCAGCCGCTGTGAACGGTAGCGGAAAACTGCAAAGAGGCGACCAGGCCAGAGGCTGCTGTTGAACTGGGTTCCTAGTGACAGAGCTTCGCTGGTGTACAGGGGTCTTAGCAGCTCCGACAGAGAAATAATATTTGAAGCCAGGATCGTAATCTTAAGGAAATGACTGCACAGAAGGATTTTTTAGGTTGACTTTCTCACTTAAAACATAATAAAACTACTTTTTAGGATCGCAGCAAATATCGCTGCCATTGTTACAGGCAAAGAAAGGATAAGGAAAATACTTAAGTACACTTTCAGGTATCTATACTTTACTCCATTACTTATTTTTCTTCCTAGCTTTGACTTCTACTCATTACATTTTCACACAAGTACCCATACTTTCTATTCCTTACATTTTAAAACAAAGATTACTCATTATTCTTGGCTTCGGTTTTATGTTTATAAATAATTATTTCACCTCCTGTGCGCCATCCACTGCAGATCATAGGTGCCATCCACATCTAGTCAAAACTAGTGTAATTGGATGAGTCATATAACACAGTCATTGGTTAGTAATTCGTCAAATTTGTGGTGACGCCAAAGGAAATTTGAGAAGCAAGCAGGTGTTCTTCAAACTGCAAAGGTGAATTGTCTATGCCATGCTACAATGTCAGATTAAAAAAAAAATGTCGAAATGTCTGAAAGGTCAGACACAGGTCGGGAGATAGAGATGAAGACCAACAGGACCTCCCTCATATTGGCCCTAATCTCAAAGAATTTTTCGAAATATTCGGAAAAATTTAGCATTCAGTTCATATAGTGGGATCTGGCTTTTTTTTTTAAAGGTTACTTCATACTTTTATACTTAAAGTAGTTTTTGGAGCACATGCTTTTTCACTTTTACTTGAGTAAAGAGGTCAAGTTGATACTTCAACTTTTTACCAGAGTGTTTTTAAACTGCAGTATCTATACTTCGACCTCAGTAATGAATTTGTGTACTTTTGACCCCACTGCCCAACGCGCATCAGACCCACTTTCCGACTGAGCAGCCGCAGCTGCGAAGATGCTTTAGCCGTGCGCAGAACTAAACTTGTAAAAGCATCAAAAATGAAGCAGCACACGTGTTTTTGCTGCTCCTGCTGCTTGCTGTGTGGACGTAGCATAAGAGGTTTCTAGGTGACGTTAAAAAGCCTCTAAACTGAGGCCTTACTGCTCTGGCCCCTTTGTCTGACCAGCTGCCTTCTCTGATCCTGTGCTCCTGTCTGAGCTCCAGAATGCTGTGTCACCTAACCTTAATCTCCCCAAACTGGGAACATCTCTGGAGGATCTGCAGGACCCAGGGACACCAGCAGGTTTGTTCGGCTTTTCAGAGAAAATAGCTTTCCGCTATGCTGAGGTGAAATCGACAGCTAGCAGACTCAATTACATAGTGTAGTATTTAAATTGCTGTGCAAATTCCCGCACCAATGGAATAGCTTGGGATCATCAGGAGGAATTCCGCATTTGTTGTGATTGCACCATAACTCAGGGGTACCACACTTGGATCCAGGAAAAGACACCAACGAAGGACACGCCTATCCTACTAGCTAGACTCTCCAGCTACAAATCCAAGTTAAGCTTAGCTGAACTTGGGAGACTTCTCTGATTAAAATGCAAATCAGCAGAGGTTACTGGTCTGGTAAACTTAAGTAAAGCATTTCCAGCTAAAAATTTTGGTTTTTGATTTACTGTTTAATGATCATTATATTTATTCAGACTGCAAGAGACCATTTTAGGCTAAAGCAAACAGTAAAATGTGTACACACAATCTATTTCATATATATTGATAGAAAAAGGAGTGTGGATGAAAGGATGGAAAAAAAAATACACTGAAAGTGAACTGAAAGGGGTAAAAAAAGACAAAGGCCACTAAAAAGGAAAAAAGGAAGGAAACAAAAGCAAAGGCTACATAAGAGACTCTAAGGACCCCAAGCCAAGAACAACAGTGTGCACAGCGTCACTATCAGGCTTGGGGCTGGCAGGGCTAATTAGGTGAGTGCCCCAGAGCATTGCCGTAGCAATTGAGGATCACAGAGGCACTCAGGCACGAGCTGAACAAACTAAGCAGGTACACGACAAGGAAAAATATCTGTTTCCATGGTTACAAAAAGAGCAAGAACCCAAAAAAGCTTTTTTTTAATTTATTTATTTTTTTTTTATTCTTGGTCTTTTTATGCAGCCAATGAAAAGGGAGTGTTTTTTCCAATGTGGATTAAAATTCTTCATTAAATGGATATAAGAAATGTTTGTTATGAAAGACATGGATTGCATGTCTTTTTTTGGATTGAACACAGTAGACTTTGTCTTCTTACCTGAGAGCTCAAAGGCTTGTTATTAGCTCCAGGAGAGCGCAGGGAGGCCCAGGAGGCTGGGGTGGCAAGCATGGCTGGGCCTGTGTCTTTAGGAATTGTTCTGTCCCCATGACTATCTGAATGTGCTGCGGCAGCTGGATGGAAAAAATCTGCTGGTAGGTGAAGTATGGCTGAAGTGACATCACCGGATCCACTGCATCTTTTTTCATCACCTTCTGTAAAGAGGGAAGACATTTTATTAGTCTTGAAATCAAACAGATTTAAATTATACTATTTGAGTGTGAATAAAATGAAACTACAGTAAAATCATAAACCCATACCAAAGGATGTTTATTGTTTTATTCTTTTTAAGGGTAACGCTTGATTCTTCTTAAAAGAAGAAAATAGTTTTCTCCAAAACATACTCTAGAAACTGTTTAATTTGTTCATTACTGTACAGAGGTGTACTGTGGTGTACTTCATGTATCATAAAAAAATCACAGAGAATCCACAGCTGTCAGGCTTTTATGTGGACCAAAACGCAGAAAAGAGAGTGACATCAATGGATTCAACCTCCGCATGTTTATTTAAATCTGTCGAAAATCTATAATAGATAGAAGTGGCATCAAAAAGGACAACAATGTTATCGTCCTTGAAATCTACTCTCTGTGAGCGCACACTGGACATATATAAATCTGGGATCCTTTCACAAGATGTGCTTCATGACGACTATAAATGGATAAATTGCAAAATAGGGTATGGCTACTGAAAATCTGAGCAAAGTACAAGCATGTTAACACAAGCATGTTTACACAAAATGTGCATATATATATATATATATATATATATATATATATATATATATGTAAAAGGAAATTAGTAGAAGATAGATTTTTTTTCACCACAATGACTAATGCAAAGTACCTAAATATAAATATATATATATACACAATGGCGTAAATATCGGTAAGCAGAGAAAGCAGTTGCTCACGGGCCCACAACCTCTTAGGGGCCCCATCAGTGACACCTGGTTGGCCCCCTACGCAATTGTAGACTAGGATGTCTCATTGCAGATGTAATGGTGCGAAAGAATTCCTCTCAAACCCACCTGAAACTAAGGTGACTGACCACACCGACCGTATTTATATCGCAACACATGCCAGATTTCAGCATGATGGTGAGCCGTTTAAACACGACACCAATAGCAAAGCAGACAGTGGTACTTTTAATTTCTATGTTAACAACTAATTTCATCTCCCTGAAATGAGTCTTTTGGAACTTAGGATGTCTGTAACATGTGGTGTGTTGTCACCAATGGTTGCATTCAAGGTGCACAGTCACTATTTTTCCATGTGTGATGTGTGATCATATACTACTGAGAATCACATAATTGTATCTTCTTGGTCGATTTAAGGAACTGTCGCCATATCCTAAACCATTATCATTTGTTGTACTTCATATGTTTTCATGACACCTAGACTATTTCTCCAAACTGCCTGTCTTTGTTTTGGCTAGAGAAGTGTGGAGACCTTCACAACCTTCTGCATGGTTAATTATGGAGAGACAACTTCTCAATAACAATACAGTGACAAAGAATATTTTGTAAATAATGCCCCAGTTGAGCAGTAATACCAAAAGCCATGTAACCTCCCTCCCAGTAATGGTTACCTACTTGTGTGTGTGTGTTGACATAAATAACTAAATTCAGTAAATTAAATGACTGTACTAAATGTACTTCCCAATGGCAAAAAAAAAAAAAAAATGGAAAACAAAAATCCAAAAGGTAGGTCAAGCAAGACTTCAATGCACTGTAGTACCTTTTTCATGTGCTGAGGTTCGCCGCTCTGGCAAAGGAGGAATTAGAAGTGGATGAATAGAATCCTTGCACTCCTGAACGCCACCATTACTCCCTGAACTGGAGAGGTGAGGTCTTCTGCAGACCTCCTGTGTGAGCAACTCCTCCGAACTGTTGGAGTCACTGCAATCCCTCTGAGAGTAGGATTAGAAAAGTAGAGGAGACATTTTTAAGAAGCTGTGTAAGTAAAGGAATGCATAGAGTATTGGCACCACATCCAAATGCATAAGAGCTTCACTGGAGCAGTAAACAAATCAGACGGAAGCCTTTAATTTCCTCTCACCTTAATGGAAATCAATGCGCCCATCCCACCTCCAAACACAACCACACCTCTATACCTCGATGCAATTCTAATTTTTAATTACTTTCTCTAATAAGCATATAACAACAGCTTTCAAAGCATCAAATTGTTTAAAAAAGAAAGCATACAATTTTTATTTAATTTAATAGCTTGTTGATGCTGAGCAGAAGAGAAATTGATGTAAGCAGTGTAAAGCAACACAAGTGTGACAAGTGAATTGCAAAGTCCTTGTTAAGCATGAGTGAGTGAGTCAGGATACACACCTGACTCTCTGTGACAAGCAGCTGGTAGCTGCTGTGTTCATCCAGGCTAAGGTCATCAGGTAACACTGGAGATGAGGATTTGTCTGACAGCTGTTCTGACATCAGTGATGCCGCTTCCACCTCTGCCAATCGGATCTGCATCACAAAATGCGCAACAGTCAGATACGTTGGAGCAAAAATCAGCAAACAAAATGTAAATATATTAGCCATAAATCAGGCTTAGGGTGAATATAATTTTAAACCTTGTTTGGAATTTCATTTTATAAATACATTTATGACATTCAACATTTTGCAACAAAAACCAGATAAGAGTTTTTGACATACTTATAAATGTATTCTGAGGCAATATATTGTTAGTTTTACTTTTAACCAACTCCTGAATCTAACAGTAGGATGGCATTTGGAATGATTTTAGTCCTGATCAAATTAAAAGCACAAAATATCAGATTCATCTCTCAGTAGCACACTATATTACACGATCGGTGTTGCAGTTTACAGAGATTAAACATATTTACAGTCTGAAAACATGTTTTGTTGTCTGATGTGTCTCCATTCAGATGCTTTGTACAGAATTTGCTGTAAACAACATGAAAGTATGGTTTATCGGCTTATGCTGATAATAGATGATGTTAGGGATATTATTTTTATAATTTTGGCCCATTTGGTACCAGTTTGAACATCTTAAAGTAACAGCCACCATGACTATTTTTGCTGAGCATTCCAAATCTTGTATAGCCATAGTCAAACTGACTTCTAAAAAATGGCATGTTAATTTTACACCAACAACATCAAATCGCCATATCTTTATCTAATACAGCATTTGGGTTGTAACAGCACAGAAGATTTTGATCATATATGAGCAGCCTATAAATATGCAGCAACATTGTGAGAACATAATGTCAGTATAACCCAAACTCTAAGAGCAATGTTTCCAACTCTTTGTTGACTAATCCCACAAAGACTTAAGGTAGTATATGGCTACTGTAAAGGGAAAGCAACATGGTACTATTGATGTATACTCAATTGAATGTCAACTGAGTGTAGAGCTTTTAAAGTATTAAAACAACACCCCTTGTCAGACTAAAAAATAGTGGTTATTATAGTGCGAAAGTAGAAATGACTGAGTTATATTAGAATTTTCAGTTATCTTACAATTAAATATATTTTGTCAGATTTAACTGTGGATCTCTCTTCAAAGAGGTTCAAGGTATCATTGCTTGATTATGAATTATAAGCTGCAAGGTCAAAATTCTTCAATAGAATCCATTATGTAAGGCAAATAGACAGCAAATGTCTCTGGCCTATAAAGTGAAATAAACACATCTCCATACAAACGCATAGGTAATTATGTAAATAGCACATCATGCAAGACAGATGTGTCGACAGCCGTTTCAATTGTGCTGGAACCTGTTTAGTGTAGCACATATTATCTCATGACGCAATAACGCATCCTAAGCTTTTGACACTGAAAGGTATAAATGGACATTTGAGGAAGAGATGACTGTATTATGCATAGAAAACGTCAGACTAGTTCCACAAGCTGTTGAGATTAATCAGCTTTGAGGTATGCCCTACAGGGAGTCAACATCTCTATCATCAACAAGATTATATTTGCATTTCCAAATTTCTTTTGAAAGAATAAAAGAAAGATTAGATGAAAAAATGACAGAAACACTGCTATAAATTATGAACCCCTAAGGGATGTATAACTAATAGTGTACATTAAAAGGTAATGATATAAGGTTACTGTATTGATAAGAAAAAACTTTTATTGTTTTTGTGAAACAATGTATTGCTAAACACTATATGCTAACCTCAGAAACAGTTTCATATTTCCTAACAAGACAATAGGATGATTAATGAACACGTATTGAACAATAAACCTCAGCTCTAAAAATATTTACCATTATATTAATAGTAAATTCCAATTAATTGACCATTACATAAAAAGTTATGCGTGAATTTTACTAACTACATTAGTTTCTTTTAAACCACGTGTAAGGATTATATGTCATTGAGCAGGACAGAAGGTCTCAGTATTCAGGCAAGACAGAAAGAGATTCAATAAAAGACATTTATTGAAAATAAAAACAATTGGATCTTTTGAGCCTGTGGCTGGAGTGGGGCACCGCCCATTACTAGGAACTCTGGTTAGAGAAAAACACAGGTAAGTGACCATAAGAATCTGATGGAGGATGATTTACAATTCAGTCATCTCCTTAGAGTGAGGTAGGATCCAGCCAATGGTCTCCCAACAAGAATAGAATGTCCCAGATTCTGCAGCCCCAGAGAACAAGCAGGAATCTGAGCCAGGTCAGGAAAACAATTCAGAACAAGAAGGTTCAGAGATCCATGAGTCCGTAGCCCGGTCAGGTTTTATGATTAGAACAGGAACAGGCTGGTCCAGGGTTCCAGAGGTCCACAGAAAGTTCAGGCAGAACATTCAGATGGGAACAAGCTCAGTGGTAGAGAGGCGGAACAGGGCAAGATATCAGGAACTATAGTATGCTAAAAACTCGGTCTTCAACTTAAACTCAATCACAATGATCTAGCCCAGATAGCTGGGACTGAGCCGTATATACAGAAGCAGAATCACGTTAGTTAGATGAATGGTAATTGGAAACTGGGCAGAGTTAGACAGGTGAGTGAAATGAGAAATTAGGCCAGGTAACAGAGCCTTGATCATGACATTAAATCAACATTTAAAATACTTGTATTGCTTTTTGTGTAACTTTCTTTCAAGAAAAAGGTTGGTATATTCATGAATTATTGGTATTTCTAGAGAAATAAGGCAATTGGCCATATCATTGGGAAATGGAATATGTCATGGATCAACAGTGATGCTTGGCCTTGTTTTGACATGAAGGTATATATGCAGCTCATGGATGTGAGATCAATTTAAGGCATTTACTGTAATAGTTTTATCATCTGTCCTTTTTATATTTTGTTTAAAATATCCACATTGATCATGTGAAAATGTTAATGGACATTATCTCACACCTTCTGTAACCTAAAAAGTAAACAAATATGTGTACATTCACTGTGGTATTAAATTTTTAATTAATATTTGTCTTGTTTTTATTACATTATTTTGATGCTTGGCAACTTGAAAAGCAAATTTTTCTTTTTTGTGAACGGGTGCGAATACACACACAGACACAAAGACAAAGTTGCCTCACTATCTTTGTGGGGACATCCATTAATTTCCACAGCTTAACCATGACTTTTATCCTAACCCTAACTATTATGGGTTCATATCTAACCCTAATCCCAACCTGAACTCCCTTCACAACTTAGTCCTATATGTGACTGCTGACCAAAAAAACAGCAATTCCAGGGTCCAGACATAGGGCCCTACAAGGACCAGGTAGTCCCCACCACCTGCCATTTTGTTTCAACGAGGGCACCACACTGTATTACAAAAACAGCACACACACACACACCCCTACATATGTACATGGAGCCTTGGTAGAAATTCAACTGAAGAAACTAATTTGCTTGTCCTCATCATCAGAGGCTCATCTGCTTCTGATGCAAACCAATCAGCTTTGAACCACAACTCCACGAAGCCCAATCAGCATCCAGAGTTTATATTAAAAGGTCTTCAAATCCACGACTCAGTCTGCTATCCAGCCAAGCGAAAGCAGAAAGTCGTCTGATTTTGACTCAGATGACCCAGATTCAACCCACCTCCATCCCCTTCTCTACCATCCTAGCTAAGCTCCATCTGGCTTTTCCATGGTGCTTCTTTGACCTTGTCCCTATCAAAGTGTAAATTCGTCCGGACTCTTACTGCATACCCTGCCACATCTCAATCTTTACGGCAGGAGACCCCCATGTGAAGCCTGATTCTGCCAGAAGTATATTCCCAAAGGGGAGTTTTTCCTCTCCACCTACGCTTCATGCTTGCTCATTATGGACGGGTAATGCAAATCTGTGTTTATCAAAGCTGGACATCAATCTCCCTGGGCCCGAGTGAAGCACCTAAGCGAATCAGCTCACACAGTCTACTGGATCTCACAAATTCAGCTCAAACATATCTTCTTGCCAACCAGCAGTCTATGGACTGAACCAGTTTCATCTATCTCCACCTCCAACACCAGTTTCAGGCCTGGTGGGGAAACATCCCTATTCTTGTACACCTGCTTATGTATATTAAAGTAAAATTCAGCGCTAATGTTTCCTGCTGAGGTTTGAGCGTCAAAGTCTTTATATAATTGTATCTGGAATATGAGCAAATATGCTGGAGCACTTCTCCTTGGTGGAGCACGTTTGCTGTTGTTTGTACTATTTGAATCAATTTCTTTCGATGACTGCATTTGGTTTTTGCTAGCAGCATTTGGTTTGTTGTTGCACCATTTTAGTTTGCATTTGTTGTGTTGATTGTAGAGTCTTGTTAACAGCAGATACAAAATAAGGCAGATAATGTTTAGGCACACCACACTAACCTCCTGTGGGTGACTTTTGCAGTCCTTGCAGACAGGGGAAGAGCAGTAGTGGTGGAAAACTGACCCAGAGAGGTTGTCAATCATGTCTCCTTCCAATGAGTCCTTAATCAGCAGGGACACACTGTCCAGCCACTGGCTCTCCTGCAGAAACACATAAACAAACACGGCATTATCACACTGAAAATAGGAGCAAATTATTGTAGTTTCTGAAATATCATTGTTTTCATTAATAATAATCTTAATCTTATCCACAACAGAAAGAATTACACAGTTATTATCAGTAAAAATATTTGAAACCCATATTAATATCAGCTAACCTTTATTAAAGTACAGCTACAAGGTTTTCCAATATCTGATTTGTGTAAGACTTCACTCCATTCTATAACTGTTTTTTTTTTATGGGGCAATCTTTGCAAAATTACACCTACTCTTTGTACCATTCTCTTTGTCATCCCTTTATTGTTCTCTTTCATTATTGCTTTCCTGTAAAACATGCCAAGTTCTGAATGGAGAGTGTTGCTCAATTAAGCACAATATGTTGTAGAAAATTTTATTTTCAGCTCCAACTGACAGTTGCAAGACAGGCATCACTCTCTCCTACACTTATACCTCCTTCTTGCAGGTTCAAAGCTGAAGCCATGTTAACTGCATTTTTCTTGTCTTCCTTAATGACATAGTCAGTTCTTATTTGTGGGTGATGGTAATTCCCATGTGGTCTAGTTACTTGGATCTTTCTTAACCCCTGAAAGTTTACAATTGTAATATTTAGTTAAAATGCAATAGTTAATCTTTTCTTCCTTGTGGACTGCTTATTTCTTCAGAAGATACCTTCTCCTCATGTTTTTTTTTTCAGATATCATTAAAAAGACTGCTAAATGGTGGAAGGTGAAGAGGGCAACAGATAATACCAGGTCCTTGGCAGCAACCAAGTATTCAGTGAACATTTACAATTGCTCACATTGTGGCAGATGCACAGTGGGGGGTGAGTCAGCTTGATTGATGGATTGTGCTGGGGGTATTGGCTGTGGTATTTTGTGCCTATGACCCCGTTTGATTTACTGTTATCTGGTTCCTTACTCTATGAAGCTCCTGTATGTCCATCTTTCTTGACACATTTCTTTCTCTCATATTTAGACTATGATCCAAACTAGTTTAAGGAGTAAGATGACATAATACCGACATTTGCATTCTTTGAATAGATTTAATCATTGGATGTGTTCAGACTTATCTCTTAAATGGGAATAATCAATTACATAGAGAAGTGCTGACAAAATAGAAACGAGGCCTTCTTCAATTACATAAAATAATTCCATCTTTACAACAAACATATAATCATGAAGCAAAAGCTAAAACTATGATGGAGGATTTGTTTCTGATGGTATAATGATAGCATTTTTTTATGTTATCAAAAAACAGTTCCAGCTGAACAAGTTTAATTTTTTACCCATTCAGGTTAGAAAATTAAACATATTACTTAACACATAAAGTCTTTTTTTTTTGTCTGTAATGCTGAAGATTATGGCTTACAATCCAAAATTCCCTTCCTTTAATTCAAAGCAAGTGAACATTTATTTTTATAGCAGATTTCAACAGCAAGGCAGTTTAAATTGCTTTACATCATAAAAAAACATAAGAACAAATGTGCACTACAATCCTTTTTTCATAAAAAACAAATCAGTCAGGTGCACAGTAAATCACAGTAAAACATGAGAACCTTTACATAAAATCTTGCAAATAATCAGCCAAATAAATAAGATAATCATAAGTAGATGGCAAAACGTTTGACCTGGATTTATTTGCTGGCTAACATCAATCAATCTAAGTCAGCTCTAAACAGGTCGGTTTTTAGACTTAATTCAAAATGTTTTAGTTTTGCAGTTTTCTGAGAGTTTGTTTTAGATTAGATTAATTTTAGATTAATTTTAGATTAATTTAAAACTGGAATGACGTGCTCTAAGTAAGAAAATGAGCAACAGCTATTTGGATTAACTGCAGCTATCCTATTTTTTTTTTTAGGGGCAGACCTGTGAATAAACTATTGCAGTAATCAATACACCTGAAGATAAAAGCTTGGAAGAGCTTCTATAGGTCTTGTTCTGACATTAGTTATTTAATTTTTCAAACGTGCCTCAGGTAGTAGCAAGATGACCTTACGATTGTTTTTATGTGTCTCAGAAAGTTCAGGTCAGAGTCTAGTACTACTCTGAGAGTTGCGACCTCTTCACAGATTTTTGTAATAGCTATAGGATAATAGTATCAGTATTGCCGCTCTAAGAATTTTTCTCTGTTTTAGTAAAGTGCAATACAAGAGAGTTAGAATGTAAAAAGCTTGAATTAAATAAAAAAAGGTTGGCAAAGCAGTTCTCATTATTATTGATGTATTGGTGCTGCTTGTTTTTACTTTTCAAGGTCTTACAAATCATATACTAATTTGCACCTCTGTGTGTCTACTTAGCGGGTATAAATGATCGTTTTTGGGATGTTTTCGAAAATACCAACACAAATTACTCATGCTGAAGTCATTAGTCATGGAAATTATTCAGAGAGCATGAAATATTTGACATCTTGAAGCAATAATTTTCTGGCTTACGTATGTGCTTTCCTTGAAAATAAGCCTATCCAAACGGCATACTTGAATTTTTTTAAGCACAGATATCGATTCACAGCTAGAATCCTGCACCTTAAGTCTTTATTATGACACATTAACAACAAAAGGTGAAAATTCTGTTTTTGAGACTTAATGCTTCAAATCTAGGCTTTCCTACAAATAAAACAATTTTATAAAATAAAAAAATGCAAATACAAACTGTAGATACTAAGATGACTGCCTACAAATAAGAATAATTATTGAAAACAAATTGATATATAAAAAAAAAAAAAGGATTACAAAAAGAAGTCTTCTTTTTCGGGTTATTTTCTTTTTAATCTTGCAGAGTTAAAAATACCACTGAGCTGACAAAGACCAATAAGCACAATGAGCATGTGGGAGAGCCTGCCACCCACTTACAAGTCACTGTTTTCCCTCCAGTGAGAGGATCTATTGCTGTTTTCTCATCCCTGCCTTTTCCCCCATTGAGTCAATGTCTTTTTTCTGAAGAGTGACACAGTAATTTCTTACCAGTGAACTATGCTATGAAAGGTTACTTGAACTTGTTTGCTTCATGGAGCAAAGTATTCAGCATTTTGATCATAGGATTCCTAACAGAAATCTGACTTGATTTACTGTAAATATAACAAAACCTTTTATCAAGGTTTTTAGCTTTCCAAGTTGTAAAATGTTATTTCACTATATATATAGTGCATTGTCAAAGTATTCACCCCCCTTGAACTTTTCGACCTTTTGCCACATTTCAGGCTTGAAGCATAAAGATAAAAAATTGTAATTTTTTTCTGAAGAATCATGAACTGGAATGAAATTTATTGAATATGTCAAACTTTTCTAACAAATAAAAAACTGAAAAGTGCGGTCCAAAAATTAAACGGCCCATTTACTTTCAGTGCATCAAACTGTCTCTCGAAGAGGATCTCTGAGTGATCCACTGATGACCTACGGTAAATGTAACCCTCGAACTTACTGGTGGACACCAGCGGTGAGAGAAGCTGTCAAGCTGAAGAAAGAGTCCTATCAGGCTTTATTGACCTGTGGCACTCCAGAAGCGACTGATGTGTACTGGCAGTCAAAGCGGCAGGTGGCTCGGCTGGTCGCTGTGGAGAAAACTTGGGCATGGGAAGAGTTCAGAGAGGCCATAGAGAAAGACTTCTGTTAGGCTTCAAATCGATTCTGGTCCAAAATCCGGCGTCTCAGGAGGGGGAAGGAGTACAGTACCAACACTATTTATAGTGGGGGTGGTGTGCTGCTGACCTAGACTCAGGACGTTGTATGTCGGTGGACCTCTTTAATCCCACCAACATGTCTTCAATTGAGGAAGCAGAGCCTGGGGGCTCTGGGTTGGGTTCTCTCATCTCTGTTGCTGAAGTCACTGAGGTGGTAAAAAAGCTCCTTGGTGGCAGGGCCCCAAGGGTGGATGAGATTCGCCCTGACTACCTTAAGGCTCTAGATGTTGTGGGATGGTGTTGTTTAACGCGACTCTGCAACATTGCATGAACATCAAGGGCAGTTCCCCTGGATTGGCAGACTGGGGTGGTGGTCACTCTATTTAAAAAAAAGGGGACTTGAGGGTGTGTACCAACTACAGAGGAATAACACTCCTAAGCCTCCCTGGTAAGCTCTATTCCGGGATTCTGGAAAGGAGGGTCCGTCGGATAGCTGAACCTCGGATTTAGCAGGAGCAGTGTGGTTTGCATCCTTGCTGTGCAAAACTGGATCAGCTCTTCCCCATCAGAAGGATCCTAGAGGGTGCATGGGAGATTGCCCAACCAGTCTACATGTGTTTTTGTGGATCTGGTGTCCCCCGGGGGTCCTGTGGGTGGTATTCCGTGAGTATGGAGTACCAGGCCCTTTAATAAGGGCTGTTAGGTCTCTGTATGATAGGTGTCAGAGCCTGGTCGCATTGCCGGCAGTAAGTCAGACTTGTTTCTGGTGAGGTTTTGACTCCGCCAAGGTTGCCCTTTGTCAGCGATTCTGTTCATAATTTTTATGGACAGAATTTCTAGGCCCAGCCAAGGTGTTGAGGGGATCTGTTTTGGTGGCCTTAGGGTTGTGTCTCTGTTATTCGCAGATGATGTCGTTCTATTGGCTTCATCAGTGTGTGATCTACAGCTCTCAGGTTGGGTTAAATGTGCTTTGTTATCAGATCTAGTTTGGTAACTTTAGGCTAAAAGCCTTGAGAAAATGGTGACCAGATGTCCTGATTTCCAGTAACAGTCCCCATTTTAGACAATCTGTCCATGAGTGAAGCTGTCTCTGATTATTTAGTGAGCTATGATTTAGAAAGTTATGTTAAGTGTATAATTTAATTATGGTATTTTTGGGTGTCATGTTGGGCAACAGCAGTAGCTGTCATTGTAACAGAGGCAGAGGAGGAGCCTTCATTGTCATGCCCAATGGTTAGCTGTCCTGTAATACGTGTCTATTCATATTTGTTGTACAGTGTTGATCCCTGCTGAGGCAGCAATGATTTGATCAGTGACCTTTAGTGTACATATTCAGAATTGGTTATTGGTTTTGATAATATATTATTATGGTTTGTAAACACTGACTTTCATGCTTCAGAGTATCTAATAAGTTTGAACATATGAGAGTTCATCTTAAAAATAAAGGAGTAAGTAAGGAGAAAAGTGCATGAGATAAGAACTAGATAAATGGAGAATGATAAGAAAGCAGTCAACTTATTAAATGTTCATTTTTTTTGCTAAATCAGTTTGTAGCTGTAACATGGCTTTTTGCTAAATGTATTGATTGTTATTTACCTTTTTTACAAATCCTCATTTCTTTTTAACAAAGGGTTTTTGTAAGTTATGGTTACCAGAAATGCTTTTAAAAGATGTCTCATTTTTTAAATTCTAACATTTGGTTCTGCAAAGTAAAGTCATAGCTAGCATTTAGATAACAGAATGCTCATAGATGTTGGTTTGAAATATAACTTTTACTGGGCTCGAAAGCATAAGCAATGGGATTTAGACTCTCGAGTGGCCTTTTAGGGTTAAAATAGTTTCCTTTCAGCTTTGTCTTCTATCATACCAAATTTCTTAAATGTTATACTGTACTTGGGTATGGCTGGTATTGCTACAGAGCCAACAAACTCATTACCAACCAACCCACTGCCCACTATAACATCACTGCTACGAGCCCTGCAACATTGTTGCGCCCTTGCCCAAACATTATAAACAACACTTTTTTTTTTTATAATCTGTCCATGTTTTTGACATTTGTACTGTATTTACTGATAATTGTAAGACACACTCTCGTAAAATGAAGTTAGTTTGGTTGACCCTTAAGCTAGGCTTTTCTTTATAAGTTATTATCTATGTTTAAAACTAAAATTTCAACTGTAGCAAACATTGCTTTGATTGCTTGAGATTTCACTTACTTGTGAAGGAGAGTAGAGCCGACATCGAGGATGAATGTGGCCATCATTAATTGAGCAACCTCCTCCTCCATCTCGCAGTGGAGCAATTACTGCACTACTTGTACAACCGACTGGTCCTCCTGTAACAGTCCCAGTTGAAGCTCCGCTTATGCCTGTCCCAGCTGCAGCCCCACCTGTAGCTCCGGCAATGGCTCCGATTCCACCCATCATGCAGCAGAGGCCCCCTTGAGCCAGCTCTAATTCAATTTCTGCATCCATCTCTGCATCTTCTTGCGCTTCCTTGTTAGAGTCATCCAGGTGTTTCATAAGCACAGCAACAACCACATTTATCAGGACAAACTGAGCTGTGAGCACGAATGACACAAAGTACAATGGAGAGATGAACTGCAGTCCAGCATGGCAGCCATAGTCTGTGCCAGGATGTTCTGGTGGGCATTCCCTCAGAGTATCCTAGCAACAGGAAGAAAATACTTTAGAGAAAAAAATGTAGGCAAAGTAATTACACTGTATATGAAAAGTAGATTCAGAAACCTATTCTAGTATAACTGATAGCTAGGTTTAAGTACTGGAGCTTTGGTGGTTTACAAAATCTTTGTTACCAATTTCAGGTACATTTAAAGTACTTGGATGGGTTGGAAAATTGATACTTTATGTTCTACATTATAACAAGTATAATTAGTTTACTCCTCATAAGAACATACTCAGTATTTTGGCCATCTTTTGATTTAAGTTATTTACAGTATACAAAAAGGGAGTTTTGAGTTGAAGACCATGTATTACCTTAATATAATGTAGTGTAAAAAATGAATTGTGAATGTAGGGTTTTCTTTAGAAACCTTTGTATGAGTCAATTAAAAGAATAACCAGTGAGTGTAAACAAAAATCCAGATCATTTAAGCAAAGATTTGTTACCTTCATGATGCCATTCCAGTTGTCACCTGTTGATACTTGGAAGAGAGTAAGAAAGGCCATTCCAAAGTTTTCAAATGTAGCATGGCGGCTCATTCCCTCACAAGGGTAGTCAGCATTGCAAACTAAAAGGTGACATAAGGACAAAGAATTAAGTGAATTAAAACAAAGGTTGGAGTTATTTCACAAATAGTAGTTTTTATGATAATAAAAACTATATAAATAAATTATAAAACACTAAAAGCCTATTTAGTCGGGAAAACATCACAGTACGAGAGAATAATAATAAAAAAAGAATGTATAAACACTGTAAAAATATTAACTAAAGGACATACCAAGCTCTCCAAATAGCTCTACTCCAAGAGCAGCATATATAAAAAACAGCAACATGAATAGCAGTCCTAGGTTTCCCACCTGAAACACAAAATATATATAATGTAATAAGCAATTGTCATTGGTACACTCAATGTATTACCATTTAAGCTAAACCATACTCAGCAAATATTAGTCACACTTTCAACTTAAAACATTAAAACTTAGGTCAAGTGATTCAAACTGAGCACTGTACAGTATGTATGTTTTGTGTATATATGTATAATAAATACAACACACAATATATGTATATATTGTAAGAGACTTTAAAGACAAGTATATTATGTGTTGTTTTAGTGGTTTATTTACTTATATTAAGGTCCATCAAGCTGGACGCATTCAAATGCCTTTAATAAACAAAACTTCTTTACAAATAAAGTATTAAGTGTAAAAACTACACTTTATGGTGGTTCAAAATTCAAGTTTTTGAAGCTAAGCATTTTATTTAAACTGCACAATTAATTCACCATTTAGTTTATCATTCAATTGCTTAAGAATCAAAATAAGCATACTTTTTTAGGCTCAAAAGCACATTCTACCATTCTAAGCGCAAGTCTTCAATTTCAGCCATAGACAAACGTGTGTGTGAGTCAAGGCTAATCAATTAGCTTTATAGAGACAACATTGCCTGGGAATCCATCTTTATAAGGTTTCTAAGCATTTCCAAATGGGGATATGCAAAGTTAAGGGATAAGGAACCCCCCGGGGTGCAATAGCAGGCACTAGCTGCACGCCATTAGCTAAATCACTTCACAGGGGAGCCAGTGGGTTGCTTCTGAATATGTACAGTCGTCACTAAAGAAAAGGATGAAAGAGAAGCGTAGCAGGAAATAATGATGGAAGCAGCACTAAAATACTGGGAGAGGAGCGTATGGAAAAGCCTCAAGCAGTCTGAGGGAAGTAAGTTAAACCCATCTGATACCTTTTGTTCCTTTGGGAAGAAAACGAAATCACAACACAGGAAAGACAGTGCTGTGTTGTAAGACTGCTTAACACCAATAATGAGTTAAAGCTGGTGAGAGGCTGGATTAAATTATAAAAATAAACAGCTGCTATCTGTAGCTAACACACCTACACAAATCAAATGCATCTCTAAGCATACTTTTTTATTGTATAGATATAATAGTCTAAAAATAAGACAAATTCTTACATTTATAATGGGAACATCATTTCTCTCATCAAGCAACTGAAAATATGCTAAGTTGAGACAGTTTTCTGTTGTTGTTTATCATCAGAACTGTATTCACAAAGCTATATTTGTCTTTGTGTCAGTATAAAGAATTTGTTTTGCAATATATTTATATTCAGCAGAACCTCTGTCATAAAAATCTTTACTTTAGCGCCACAAATAATCAACTACAGTCTAGGGGATTGCATGATTTGCCTTCAGTTTAAAGTACATTTACTCTAAAATAAAGTAAAGTAAATTGCTATATTGCATAGCTGCAAATTTTATTCAATTCTATTCAAAAATAGTTTATTAACCCAAAAGGGAATTTTTTTGTTGCAGTGACTCATAAGCAGTTTTTCAACTAGTTTATTAGGTGTTAGCTGTAGGTGGAAGCAATCTTTTGTAGCGGTCTGTCTTACACTAGATCTGGAGAAGCCTCTTACAGAATACACTGTTGTTTTTTGTAAGTTTTCTGAAGAGGAATCTATGGAAGCCCTGAAAGGCAAGAAAAAATAAATCTGGAAAATAAAAGTTTGAAGATTTGTTTTTGTTTTTTCTGCTTTGAAATGCAAGAGGGAAAAAATATGGAAAGAATGGTTCACATTTTTTTCTCTTGTTTTATTTTCTGCCCTGAAATGCAAGTGAAAAAAAAAAAATAAATAAAAGGCTAATTTTTCTGTTTGCTCTTGCAATACTTTATTTTGCCACTAGAGGCACTGACGTGATAAGACAGTCACTGTCAGCTGTATAGTCAGCAGTGACTGTCAGTCAGAGGCCTGGTTTTCAAGAATCAATGTCCCAGATATAAAAAAGGTGTGGAGAAATCACAATTATTGCAACAAATGCATTAGGCTGTTATAACTGTAGCTTGGCAACAATGGCACTGATTACATCACATGAAGTGTGCAGCAGCAGAAGGTGGAATGTAAACAGTTTTCAAAAGAAAACTGGTTAACTCTCTGAGCAGATAAAATGGCCGAAAACCAGCTGCAAGCAGTTCATTATCTGGGCTGCAGTGATGAATCCTCACAGTTACATGTCCTGGATGACACCATTTGTTTACAAGTACTGTCAACCCACCTCACTTGATTTTCCCATTTGTCTTTAAATCTCTCTCTCATGTTTCAGTAAAGAATATAAATCTGCATTGTCAATATTCTGGCTGTATTCTCTAGGGCTTGGAGTTCATCTTACTCGATTGCTAAGATCTTACATTGCCCACAATGATTGATTGAAGAGACGGCTTAAACTTATTGCTTCTCTCTCTTCTCCTTGTTCCTGCTCTGCCTCCTTGGTGTCTCCTTTTCAACTCAGCTGGTACTTGAAGAAGTAGTTGAAAATAGGCAAAAAAACATAGAAAATAGTTTCTGACCCACAAAAAAAAAGAAGCTAAAGTTTTATTAAAAAGGAATAACAGAATCAAGCCAACAAATAATGTGTTATGTATTTTTTTTAAACTTGTGATGACTGGTGATGGATGTCCTTTGCTTGAAATTCCTTGTGGTCTAGTTATCAATCAGGAATATGATAAAAAAAAAGAGGGTAAGCTATATTTATGCAAAAAAAGAAAAAGAAACACTTTAATGCATCAAAAAAAATTATAGTATAGAAATAATGATGGAAAAAAAACAAGAAAAATAGACGGAAATTTAGTGAACACCCGCAGTCCATTAGCAGTATCTTCTCCAAAGAGATGTTTTAAAGAAGCAACTCCAGTTCCATTAAGCATTTTCTCTTTTAATGCATTAAAAAAGAGACAAATTTAACCCTCACAATTCTTTAAAAAAATTACCAAATGTAAATTGTATATCATCTGGAACTAGGCTGATTACATTTCAGTGTGTATAGGGGGAGTAGGAACTTAAATTTATGTTTACTTTTTACGGGGGAAAAAAATTATATGCAAGTTTTTAGAGCTTCAACTTTTTTAGTCCTCCACTTGTTCAAAGTTATTTAAAGGGGGAAAAATCTGGTCAGCTGCTTTGATGGATCGTTTGCTGTCATTGGCTTTTAGAATATCTGTGAGAGGAACCTCCACTTTACCAGATTTTATAACATGCAAAACAGTTTATTAAGTTACTACAAACGTCTTGGATGCATCTAAAACTAAAAATAATCGATTTAAAACTTTATAACGGTTCACTTGAGACTGGAAAGAGCTACCAAGTTACATCAGTTCCGTTTAGTTTTTTTTCACAAATTACAATACTTGATTTTTAAAATAAAATATACAATCAAACTTAAATAATTTATTCCCTTAGAAGGTATAGGTTTACAAAAATTTAAGCTCACTAACATATTTCTTTCTTCAAAAGGCATAATGACCATTTATGAGAATGAGACCCAGAGTTGAAAATTGCAGCCGATAAAAACTCTGTGGCGCAACCAGAAAAATAGAGTGAAGACAAGAAAAGCTCTGAACCTTAAAGACTTGAGGCTCATCACTAAACATGAAATGTTGAAGTATGGAAAAAAAAATGGCTGTAATGCCATTTTTTTTTCAATAATTATTGAGATAATATTGGCATTTAAATTTTAGTTTGCATTGTCTATATGTCTAGAAAGGTCTGTTTCATTTTTTGTCAGAAACCAACTAATTGGCTGTTTAAAACTTATTGAGGAGTTGGGAACTTCTAAAATAAGTGCATGTCATACTTCCAAGACTGATTATTCTCTTTCATTAAAATTAAATCATCAAGGTCAACCACATATTCAATAAACTGCTTATGAACACTTATTTACAATCACTAGTAAGCCAGGGGCTAGATAACTGACCTTTCACTTGGGAACTGGTTTCCATTCCTTTGAGCCAGACTTTAATGAGTATGGAAAAGGTTTTACTGCCATAAGTCTTCATACAGATCGGGATCCTTTTCATACACCACTCACATCTTTTAGTAAACACTGTGACAGCAAATTAAAACATGTAGCTTGTCAGATTAAATAATACTACTTCCGCAAAAGTATCTAGGTGTTACTTTATTGTATGTCTTGTACCAAGTCTGTTGGTTGTGCTGTTCTCTTTGTAGGTGATGAAGCAGACTGAAAATGTTTTATCGTTATCTCCCTTTTATCTCCTCTTTCTTTCATCTTTTCTCCTTTTTTTCTGTTTTCCCTTTCCTGTTCTACTTACATTGCAGTGTCCATATAATCTGTAAAACTCCCTGCATAATTATAATAAAGCTATTTATATGCATAAAACAAACGGAACACTATGGCAATAGCCCTACTGCTCCTCTTGTGAAAGCAAAATTTGTTGGGCTCTTTTTGGCATCAAGACAATTATTCTTATTGACACATTGCCAGACAGGACACTGTTAAAAAACAAGCAAACAAAAAGAAAAAACATATAGCTGCTTTTGCTATAATATAGTCAAATTATTGGATGAGGACATATGACTAGTGAATAGACTTTTTATGTATTTAGCTTTAATCAGAAGAAAAATACTATATATTTCATATATCATTATTATTAACATAACCAAATTACATTTTATATTTAATAATTTCAAATATTGCTAATACAGTACAAGTATTGTAAACAAACATTTATTTAATTAATTTGTTGGATTTAAAGATATTTGGAAAAATATACTGTATGCTCTTTAGGCCTTCCTTATACTGTAACTATCATATATAAACTCAGACTGTTTTCAGTTTCAGGTCTGTAAGGATTAACAAAAAAACTTTTATTTGCTCAATGCCTGAAAATAGAAAAAAAGGAGGATTTTATTTATTCTCTTACACACACTTATTACTATGGCTTTAAGCAATGAAAAGCGTCCAGCCAAAAGATCAGAAAGACGATTGATGTCCAAAAGTCTGGTTCATGTTTGAGTATAATTTCTAAGTACCTTAAGGTGCCACATCAGTTTAATTATAAAAAGTATAAACAACATGGTGATGTCCTGCAATTATACTATTCCCTAAGGGATACAGGATCTGTTCACCATTAAAATGGTTCTGTGTAAAATACATGAATCATTCAATGGACAAAGCAAAATACTTTGTGACACTGCTGACGCAAGCTGATAAGAGCTTTTTTATCCAAAAACGATTTTCAGAAACTGACTGAAAGGTCACTTAGAGTAAGAAGCCATTAATTACAGTTTGCAAAAGAGGTCAGAATAATAAGTCTTTGAGATACATCCTGTGCTATGACAAAGTTAGAAAGAGCAGTGTGAGGTCCGCTCCTGTAATAATGCTCCATTACTGGTTTGCTTTAGGACAACAATGAATCTACATGCAAACAGGAAATATACTATCTGATAATCCACTAGTGCACTTAGAAACTTTTGGAGCTAGAGCTGCTAAAAACAGTGGAGATAAGGGTGCAGAGGACCCAAAATTCCTCCCCTATCCCACATCACACATACACACTCCGTATCAATCCATAAACAGCCAACCCTGCCATTTTGATGTTGTTGTGTTTACTTCTGCGGGTGTGACATAATCCACAGTGGATGGGAGTTGCCATCTCTTTGACAGCTGAACCTCTTGCAAAGTATAAACGCTTGGGGGTAAAACAAACTTTATTTTTCTTGCCAACTCGAGAACAAGAACAAACTTCTAAGGATCTTTTGGAGTATGCAACAAGATTTGGGTTCAGAAATATGATGTTCTGGGGCTCTTCTGCTGCAGTGAGGGACAGCAAAGGGGCACGTGAACAGGAATAAAAAATGTAGAAAAATTGTCATGAAATATTAGGACATCATCCAAAAAACTATGTTGTAGTATGCAGAATAATCACCTGCATACTACAAAATACATTTTAAAGAGGATAAAGGCAGTAAAATTAATGCTTACCAAGTCCTGACCACAGTTCTAGAGGAACAGGTGGATGCAAGCATGAGAGCGTAAAAACCTGATTCAATTACACAAATTCATTCAGTGGAAATGTGTCAGCCAACTTTTGTGAGAAGTACGGAAGCTGAGAGTGGTCATGTCCCTCCGATACTTTTTTTACAGTGGTTTTCTCGGAAAAAAAAAACGAGTTAAACCTCTTAACACCCACCTCATTTGAAATAATCCTCTACAAGTTTGCATACCAAAATGGAAAAGCAAATAACTGTAAGCCCAAATTACATTTGTGATACATCATTTGAAAGTAAACACCTTCTAGTTTCTGAAAATATAAAATAGGGTAAGAAAAACACAGTCTGAGCTGCATCAGTTCAAACATGACTCAAAGTTGGGTTTTTTATTCTCAAAAATAATAGGTCTTTTTTGAACAGCAGTAATAAAGACATTCCTCAGAAAAGGCATGTTTCATTGGATGATATTTATTTTTACATCATGTCAACCACAAATGCAAAAAATTTCAGACCTCTAGCTACAACAGTTGTAGAGCTGTAGGGCTGTCACCAGTGTCTCCAAACCTCTCCAAATGTGCCAGATTGTGCCAAATTGTGCCAAATACTTTTACTCAACTATTTGACCCGTAGAATTACACTGAAGCATTTTGATGGCCACAAAACATTTATGAAGCAAGTATTTTTCCACTTTTTTTCAGAATCAGTGTATATTACAAAATTTAACATTTATAAACCTAAAATCACATAAAAATCTGTACAAAATAGTGAAACTGATACTTTTCAAGCTAAGCTCCAGTGCCTTTTCTGAGCTGTATTTAATTTTTTTTTCAGCCTAAAGCATTGTAATAGCATAAAAATCAGTGTCCAAACTTCAAAAATATTGGAGCGTTGTTAGTAAACGCGCTGATCCAGTCTCAGGACTGTATTTCACTCCTACGCAAGCCGATAACAAGGCTCTGCTTTATGCAACCCAGCCATGTCTAACCTTATTTGAAACCTTATTTCATTGGTTACAAAGCCAAGCAGCCCACATGGTCTTAACAGGACTCTATGAGGCGTAATACGGCTCAAATTGCTGCGTGATTGGCTGACAGACAAGGAGTGCGTGTGAGACCTTTGGCTGACCATTGGCTGACCGTGACTCAAATCCAGTCATACAAAGATGTGGACACTTTTGTCTTGTAGCTAAGAAGACAATGTAAAGAAACATACCAAATATCGCAAGCAAATGTTTGAGGAAATAAGTCTTATTAGCAAAATGCAAAGCATTACCTCTGACCAGCTAACTTTTCTCGTTAACTTTTCCGTAACGAGACAATTAGATCTATGCCTCCAGCAACTTAGCACCGGTGTTCTGTAACTATGTGTTTTCTGAACAGCCCTGGTGTTACGCCTGTAACAGGTATAAGATGTGTTAACCCCCAAAATGAGTCCAGATTAAAGATGGTCATTATAAAAAAGTCAGACTTGTTTCTACTGTAATCCATGCAATCCAATCACCCACCATGACCTGACAATGAGTGAAAAGAAAAAGGAAACTAAAAAAAAATAATTTTTTGCACACAAGCGGTACTATGGGCACCGCAGGCATGGATGGACTGGGAATCCAGGGCTGTTGGCCAGCCACATTCATTCCTCATACAGCTTATTTATTTCGTTATCTCAAGAAATCATAGTTGTTTTCTCATGATAACAAGATATTTATCTTGTTATCTGACAAGGCAAAGAAAACAAAAAAGTCGAGTATGACTACTTTCAGCTTCCTTAGAGAAGCTTGCATTGGGACAGCTAAAAAATTGACCCAAATGGCGATGGGGAATTTCCTGTTTTTGATTATTGTGGGTTCTTTAAGTTCTAGTTGTCTACATGCGTTTAACCCTGCATTTTCAATTGAGTTGCCACGTCGGCGTTGCTTCCTGTGGCACTATCGAAAAAAGCTTATTAGTCTGTCATAATTCATTGTAATTATTAAAAATATTTTATTTTAGATTTGAAAATGGATAAAAACAGTATGAAACCTCAATTGAGATAAAGCAAACTAGGGAAATTAACAAAAGCATAAAGAGAAAATGAATATCTATTTAAGAAATATTTAAAGAACATTCAAACGTTATGTAAACAGGAAAATAAAAAAAACTTATGTAAACAGCGTAAGCTAAAAGCATAAGCTAAAAGGCAGCACCCAACCAATATTAGGTTAAATTCTAAATCGAAACATTTAACCCAAGGTAAAAGAAATTAAAGTAAGCCATTGTTCAATTAGTCTTATACCAAATATTATAGCAAATAATGCACCAAAAGTATGCTTGAATACTGGATCCTTTGTGTACTGATGTAGCACAAAACTGCTTAGTAGTATCATTCCTAATAAAACTCTTAAATAAATGCAACAGTATTTTATTTTGTTTTTTTTTAAAGGAAACACTTAAAATCAAAGGTTTTCATGAAACTGGTGGAACAAAAATGCCATAACCTGACTTCCTGAACTCAGTTATTCTCTTGGAGCAGTCACAGGTTCTGGTCATTTATTATCTAGCGAATGTTAATTACCTCCTGGTTGTCCTTGCAAGAAGCTGGGGGAAAATACTGAATTGTAGGTGTGTGTCTGTGTGAGAATGTGTGATCACACATACTGTACCTGAGGTAGAGCCTGGACCACTGTGTCAAGTAGGGCCCTCATGCCTGTTGCCATTTTCAGTAATTTCAGCACTGGGAAGAGATAGAGACGATAAGACAGCTTTGGCCACAGGAAAAACGGTTTTAACTATTTTGGTGTTATGAAACACTTCAGATAACAGTGAAACAAAAGACACACTTCAGGCAGACATAGGGAATCCAGATACATTAGGTATACACTGAACACAGAAGCAAGCAAGAGAAAGGATCAATTGGAGGGAACGTCCTTCTGGACTCGACATTTCAGATCCTCTGCTATTCCCAAGCATCCAATTTCTAAAGGAAATTGGATGCCTTAGCAGCAGAGAGAAAACCGCATGTGTATTCAGCATCAGCAACTGCAGACACTAAAACCTCCTGGGATGTTTATGTCTCCACAGATTGGTGAAAGAAAGAATATGTATGTTTGTCTATCTTAGAGTGTTGTTATATCAAAATAATTGTTTTATTATTCTAAATTACACTTTGGGGTTGGGGTTTTGAGGTAGTTTTGTTTAAAAATGTAGTCTGTATCATTCATACACATTGTAAAATATCACTTTAAGAACTAAAATAAGCATACAAATTCAAGGTGATGGTACTCATTGGAACTAAATAACATAAATAATTGTAATCAGGAAACCCTTCAAGTTATTGTCCACATTTTACTCCTTGCGAACAACCATATTATAGATTACATACATTTGACGTTGATGGTATCAGGCATCTAGAATTACTTATTAGAAATTATCTATTTTAAAAAACACGAAAAGAAAAAAAATGTAAAACGGAATATCTTTTTCAATAATTTTCCCAAGGTGACATTAGCTACAGGAGCTAGCCACTCATAATGACCTTATGAGCTACAAATAAGAGTTGAAGTTCTATGAACTAAACTGAGTCAGTTAATGCAAAAGAATAATAATTATATAGGATCTATTCACCTAAACAAGCATTTAAAAAAAATATTTTCTATCTTTCCTTGCACCTCCCACACTTTTCAAAGTTATTAGGGTAAAGAGAAAAAAATCTTTACATTTTTCCTCTGGAAGGAAACATTTAAAAAGGTTATTTTGATCAAAGTTTTATATCTAATAACCTTTGTCTTGGACTGACAGACTTTGAGTAACTTGAGAAAAGAAAAATCCTGCAGAACTTGGTAATTTAAAATGAGTAATTATGAAATAACTAATAACTACTAGCTAAAGGTCTATTTGTTAATAAACCTTAGTTGTGGGCATAAAGATTTTAACTGCATAGGGATTTTTACATTTGTGTTAACAGCTAAATTCTGTTAGATTTAGGACAAAATAGGGCGCTTTTCTTCCCTCTAAGTTTGTATTTGAATCATCAGATGAAAGGATGCTGCTCTTCCATTTAAGACGAACAAAACTAAACAAACAAAACAACTAAAATCCAAAAATCAATACAACTTTTTTTTAAGCTAGGCAGTAAATAACTCCAAATTTGAAGTTATGTGTTTGTTCTGAGACTCTGGGAGCCTCTGTGGAAGGCTTTCTGCAAACGATTTCAATATTAGCTCTCTGAATGAAGATTTCAATATTAGTGTTTGTTCCCTGGCAGACGCTGCTAGGCTTGGCAGTGGTTTAATGTCAAAGCTCTGTATTTGTTTGGCTGTGTGGTCGACAGCCGGAAATACTGGAACTGTTATCAGCTGTACTTTGCTTACATAAGACAAGCATGTTTTAAACGGTTGTGATGTTTGTTGAGTATAATACTAATAAAGAAGAAAACAATCAGACCAAATCACTGCTGCAAAAATGATATGGTGAAAAATGTCTTGCCAAGTACAATTCGCAGAAAACTCAAAAGGGTATTAGTTCCTTTGGCATAATTCTTGATTAATTTTAATGTTTATGATCCAATCAGGTAGAGATTTTCAAAAGTTTAGCCTAATTTTTAGGTTATGAAATATATTACAAATGTAATTATCTCCACAACAAATTGGTATGAAATGTAAAATAAGATTGTATATAATATAAAGAATAACATTTGTATGGTCATATTAGCAAAATAAACAGTGACCAGTTTTTTTAAGCAGTCAGGAAATTTAAAGGTATAGAGGACGATCTTTTATGTTCGGGTGGATCATCTAAATAATTGTCAATCAATGTTGATGTGTTTATGTAAGGCCGTACTATGTGCTCATCCTGAAAGCCATACTTTACTGCGCATGCGCACTTTCAGGCGTATATCTGTGGTGAGCTACGGTTTCAGTCATTGAAGCTCACCTTTCTCACCGCGGTTCTTTGAAAATGGCCGGGGGTCATTAGAGAAAAAGTGTCTATTAAGTGTATGAGAAGAAAAGAACGGCTTTAGAAGAGGCAGATATATCCTGGAATGCTTTGTGCAATTATGGGATTTGCTCTCACAGAGGCCCGACAGCAGCGACTAATTACAAAGATGAGCTTTTATGAGCTATGAGAACGGCAACTTTTAAACAGAACGTGCATAAGGAGAAATGGGCTCGTGCATGCTTTCGCACATGCATTTTTTCTTTTAAAGTGTGAAGGGCGGGTCTTTTAAAAAATTTGAGGAAATCCTCTACAATCCCATTAAACATGACATAAATAACTACATTTAAAAATTTTCTTTCAGTAGTCAAATACAGTTTCCTAGAATTCATGCTGCGTATGTTGCTAATATACTATGGCAATAAAAAAAAGACTTAAAGTGACCTGTAGTCCTTGCACGGTCAAACACCCCTCTTGCCTCCACATTACTACAAGCTGTTTAAAGCTAATTAGCATATTACCCATGGGTCCACTCAGCAGTCCCTGACCAGCCTAGTGGAGGACAAAGGGGTAATGTAAAACAACGAGGATTAACTGAGATTGATGTAATTGGTTTTTATCCTCTTTGTTACGTAGTTTAACCACACTGGAGGAGCCCACAGGGATAGATTTAACTTCCTCTAGATATGAAAAAGCCAAGTGACAATTGGGAGACATTGAAAAGAGCTAATCAGGTGACTTTAAATAAAAGCAAAAATCCAGCTGTATATAACGCAGCTACTTGAGATATGATAATAAATGAATGTTGTTTGTGCTTTTGCATTCTTAAATCTCTTTGCTTGTTAAAAAAAAGATCTGTGGTTGTTCAGTCATACTGTACCTCGTGCTATTCTGAGCACCCTCATGATCCTGATGATGGTCGGATTGATCGGAAGAGAGGCGTTGATTTCAATCTCCTCCAGAGTGATGCCCATTACAGACAAGAGGACTATTGCCAAGTCCAGCTGATTCCACCTACACAGGCAGACACACACAACAAGTCTCTATAGTTTCTTATAAGTTAACCAACTAAGTAAAAGTTAAATTAGATCTTAAACAGAGAAAGGAACAGAGATTTCCCAGAGGGAGGCTGTAGTTAGGAGACATGGGATTCAAGTTACTATCATGCTAATCTTACAATGAATATTAATGTTTTGGATGAACTTTGTGCATAATTTGCAGAGGAACTGCTACCATCTCACCATCATTTGAAATACCATTGCTTCCATTCATATTAATTACAATAATGGAAAGGAATTTCAATAACTAATGAAATGTTTAATTTGAAAAAATATTTGGCTACAAATTTATTGAGCCTTTTTTAATTTTCTTTAAAAGGTAGCAAGACAAATGTTTCGTATAAACCTGGCATGTAATGTAAGCAATGCTATAGGTTAAAAACAAACACAGAAGGGATTTGGTTGATAACTTCAAAATGGGGGTTCTACTGAGACCAGGGTGTTGGTGAGGACAGTTTTTAACGAATGCACTTAAACCAAATCAGCCAAAAGATGTTTAGAACAATAATTTAAAAAAATGTCACTAGATCCATCATGTTAGCAAAGAAAAAAAAAAAAACCTAGTTTAAATTTTACAAATGCAGTCAGGGAGAGAGATACTGTATGTCTCCTGTTCTAATAAAACTACTTTGTAATGAAATGGTTTGGCCATAATGACTATTTTGATATCTTATTGAAAAGAAGAAGAGCTTGAAAGTCTGATGGTATAATGTCAGCTTTAAAGGTTAATAGCAACATGCTTTATAACATGTTTTAGATTTGACTCTAAAATAGTAACATGGATACAAAATGAAAAATAAACTAAATAAAAGCATACAGTACACCAACAAGGAAGCTACTAAACAGTTGATGATTTTATGTATTGCTTTCAGATATCGTGATATATGCAATCACAAAATGTTGGCTTTTTGTTTTTTTTTTTTTTTGCTATTGTTATGTTTTCCTTGAGGAGTAATAGAAGTTGCTGACTCAAAAAAATGATCCCATCACTACTTTGGAAAGTCCAATCTTAAGATAAATAATATGGTCCTGAAAAGACAAAGAAACACAATTAACAAATGTGTATAAAGGAACAGCAATTTCATATCTGGTCTGAACTTAATTTAACTCTTGGGTATTAAAATATTAGTTAATAATATGAATAATATGAAATATAATACTTGAAGAATTGCTTTGCTCTTTTGATAATGTCCCATTATTCATATGTACAGTTTTGAATTTTTAAAGCAGTACGCTTCTTGCCACCTATCACAGACATTAAAAGGCAACACAAACAGCATGGTGCTAATCTAGAGTGTGTTTCAGTGCCATGCACAGACTTTTTGAAGGGTAGTGGCAGAGAAAAAAGGCACAAGTAGTGTGTCCTCACCACTGCCAAAGGTACTTTAGTACACATTTTGGCTCCCAAGGGGGCACTTTCGTAGCCATGGGAACATATTTTTCTAACCCAAGAAAAAACAAAAATTATTCTAACATATCTAAATCCATCTGTATCCACAACAACATGACAGCACAAGGGAGGCACAGGGTAAATGCAACAAATTACATTCAAAGAATCCAGCTGGCAAACCAAAAATCCAGATTTACAAACTATAGGAAACTATATGCAAAAACAGGGGCTCTGCTCATTTAAATAAAACTAAATTTTTGTTTCAAGCGGCCCTTTAGCAAGCGTTTTGGTTATCCAAAGGGGCACTTAGCGTTGTTTTGTGAAAATAGAATAACAGGTGTACCAAATTAGTAATTCCCCTAATGGGCTTATAACTGGTATGTAATTCAACAGAATGACAACAGGGTTTTTTATTTGGTTTTTATATCAAATCAGAAGATATACATATTTTGGAATAAAAGGGATCAACTAACTAATTTGATATGCGGTGAAGATTATCTCTGAGGCTGGGCTAAAAGCATTTGATGTATGAATGTCCTCTTCCTATCACCCTTATTTTTAGCTATCGCAAATATTTTCCTTTGAGCTCTGGCTGACTTTGCCTGGGCACTACAGAACATTATTAGTATCTCCAGTCAGAATGATTAAACATGCTGGTGAAATAAAAAATGTAACTCACTTAAATTGGCTAGGGTTAAATGTTATTTGTAACATGATATTTTCTATGTTTATATATGTTAAAGCAGATGGTCATTAAAAGTGTATAAATGCATAATAAGTTGACATTTCTTATAAGTTATGTTCAGCCCTGTAGATCTCTATACAGGACAACACCAATCTATCGAGGGCCAATCTTGTAAAGCTGAAAATGTACCTGTCCTTGAAGAAGCGCCGGAAGCCAAATGCCACTAGCTTGAGAGACGCCTCAATCACAAAGGTAGAGGTGAAGAAGTAGTTGCAATACTTGAGGGCAGTCTCAAGTGACTGAAGGCAGAAAGAAAAGGCTGCATTAAGAATACAAACTTCAACATATCTCTTCTGTCACAATGTTTTGTTAATTTGATTTGATTCACTCAAATGATAAGGAAATAGAGATGTATCACTCTTTATTAATTTTTGAAGGAGAGAGAGATAGTCAGAAACTAATATCTCAATCAGTATTAAGATTGTTATTCAATGAGTGTTTTGACAGTGGGAGCAAATTATCTTGCTATCACCTCTTTTAATAGAGGCAAGTTTAACTGAAACAGACAGGTAAATTATATGGGACTTTGCAGAGGAATATACATAAATTTTTTGACTACCCCACAGAAATTATTTGGGGATTCAAGATAAATAAAATAAAATAAGACAATAAAATTTTATTTGCAGAGGAGTGCTAAAGGTTTAGAATTTTTTATCCATCCCAGAAACTCTATTTCCATGACACATTAGAATTAGGGTTGCTGCACATCCAGTCAGGCAAATCATCTCTCCTTAAATAATTGTATTTTTATATTGTGCAAAGTTGTAGTTAAGCTATTTAACAAATGTAGGTATACCGAACCCTGAACTAAGAAAATATCTGAATGCGAGGTGTGTTTTTATCCTATACTAATTGTGGAGAAGAGTTTTGTGTTTATGTTGTCTACTGTAGGAACAAAACAATGTAAAAAGTAACTATAAGTAGAAGGTAAAAAGACACCTGCATAAAGATGGTTATTTTTGCCTTAATATGGCTATGAAAAAAGGTTAGTTATATTAGCTGAGTAAAATCTTTGTTCTGGTTAAATTTGGAAGGGTTTTATGGGCCAATTTACTAATATATATTATTGAACTCAGTAAAGACTAATACTTCTGAACATTTACAATCCATCGGTAAATGGAATAGTTTGAAATGAAAATAAATACACTTTATCGTAAATATTAATCCTTTTAATAGTATGCCAGATAAGCAATAGATGGACCAGATTTCTGTTTCTGCATGGACCATAGCGTAGCACAGCACTAACTTTCCTTATGTAAGAAAGATTAATTTGGATGTTAGGAAATATATCAGGTTGCACAAATCCAACCATAACCAGCTTAAGAGGAAGAAATGTTGATAGACTTTAACACACATTGAATATATTGTATTCAAGTGCACTCACTAAGAAAATATAACTTATTTCAGACAACATTAGCTTTATCAGAAGTGTCAAGTTCTTTAATAGGAAAGGCACACTACAGATTTCTGGGTGCCTTGCAGTGAAAAAATGGTATTGACTCACATCCTGTCTGGAGTAAATAATGATTTAACATGTATTTTGTGTGTTGCCATTTATGAAGGTAATTTTGTTTTAGGGTTGACAAGACATAAACATCTGTCTTTTAACAAGGCGGCTGTAGATAGAGTCTTCTATTAGGAGAAGAATAGCAAAAGCTATAACATTCTGCATGCAGAGCTTTTGAAAATATATCAGTATTTTTCTAAAAAATGCTATATATATATATATATTTATTACAATTGTGACATTAAATATGTGTAATCATTTAAGCAGACATAAAAATACCTTTATGGTTTTTCTGTTTTCTACATAAAAAATATTTAGATATATCAGTAAAAATTTTGTATGAGACCCTGCATAGTTTATTTATCACATCATAATTTGACATAGAAGAGAAGCAAACTTTATTTGAAAATTTTGAGTAACTTTAACAGAGAGGCAAGCAGACATCAAAAGCTAGAAATTTGAAGCTGGAGCCTGCAAGAGATTAAACAGTCAGTCATCTCAACATACCTTTAAACAAGTCTGAAAAACCCTGCATGTCTCATTCCTAATGAAGAAGAAAGTGTACCTGTGGCTGGCTGTAGTGCTCCAGGGACATAGTGATGACATTAATGCATATAATGAAGGTGATTACTAAGTCCAGGTAGTGGCTGGTACACAGAGCATGGATGGCCAGGCGGGTACGGCCATAAGAAGAATAGTATGGCAGTTTCTGTGCCTCTGGAAAACAAGAAACAAAAATTAAGATAAAAGAAAAGTATGGCTAAGTATGGCTCAGATTCAAAAAGAATAGAAAACAAAAGGAAAAAAGGACAGTAATACAGTAATTAAACATAAAATATGTTGAACGGGGAAAGCTTGAGTGGGAATAAGAATAGAAACAAGTATTTTCTCTTAACACAAAGGGTATATAGAAACTGGGGATATAGAAAAATGCAAGATTAGATTTATCTGAGTTTAAGGCAAAGGGAGTAAAGATGAGGAGCAGAGGAAATTATGCAAAGCAAGACAAAGACGGAAAACTGAGAGCTAATATAAGGAGAAGCCTGATAAGAGTGAAGGCGAGGTTAAGTAGTTTTAAAGGAGTTTAAATAATGACTCATTTCCATTGATATAAGAAGACTTTAGCATATGCCGTCCAAATAATATGCAAGAGGGAGCTTATTATTTCAAAGATTCAAGTCCAATATAACTACCTCATTACATCTTACATAACTTACTTGCCAAACTGCATGTTGTTCTCAAACACACCAACATTCTATTACTGTGCTAGGCTTTATATAATCAAAATAATCATGAAAGTATATATTTTTTCTCTAGTTCAGTCTCCTAGGATATAATTTCCACCGTTGAGATCTTAACCTCTCTTCGCCTTCCCTGGTTCATAGACTCATCAGTTAATAAAACTTCACATACATTACTGACTCCAATTGTCAACATGAACTTTCTCCCTTGTACAGCAGCTTTTTTTTAATCTTAGCTCTTACTTCTCCTCTTCTTTTCCATGCGACGTTGGCGCTTTTCTTCTCTACGCCTTGCCTCCTCCACTTCCTGATGCTGCCGACACTTGTGGAAATTCTCCACCACCACACCCACAAACATATTGAGGACGAAAAAGCTGACAATCAAGAGGAAAGATATGAAGTACAGCAGCATCCACGGATTGTTGTTGGTCACCGGCTGGAAAGAAGAGAGGACGGCAGGGAGATGGATGGGGAAACAAACACAATATTAATAAATATAAAGGCAAAAAAGGGTTATTATGAAAGTAAGAAAAGAGAAGCCTGAGTAGAGTTTAGATATGCCCCTTTTATCTTTCCAAGGTGTAACTGAAAAAAAAAAAACATAGCCAATGCTAATAATAAAAAAAAATCAAAAGAAACTAAAAGAGGGAAACAATAAATCAAAATTTAAAAATGCAGCAAAAGATAACTTTCTCAGTAAAATAATAAAACAGAAGATCCTATCTTTAAGTGGTTAAATCTGTCAGTCTCCCAAACATAGCCAATGGGC